ATATATATAGATAGATATTTTCCGTTTTTTTTTAATTTGTAGGTCTAATGAATTGTATCCTGATTGTGATTCCAATGTAATAAATTATTACCATAGAATATTAATGTTTAAGCATTTTATGTATATATATATATATAGTCGACTCTTCCGTCGAATTCGACGTATGAGGGTCAAGCAGATCCGTTTCTAAGAAATTGACAGCCCGACACCAGCACATGAGATTTATAGTGGCGAAGGTTTTGTGCTGAAACATATACACTTTTTTTGCAGAATGCAGAGACCTGGTGCACTACGTGCCACAAGGTCAGAAAACAACTCTCCGCAGGTTTTGAAATCATAGTTGTATTTTTCCTAGACCAAAGCTATTTACCCATGGAGGGGGGAGATTCCTACCTTTCCCAAGGGCCATAGCACGTCATTCGACTCTCCCGTCGAATTCGACGTATGCGCAGATCAATTCCTAAGAAACCTGACAGCCCGACACCAGCACATGAGATTATAGTGGTGAAGGTTTTGTGCAGAAACATCCACATTTTTTGAATACAGAAACCTGGCCACAAGGTCCAAAGTTATAGAACCCGGTCTTAAGGGAGGAGAAAATGACTCAAACATTTCCCAAAGGTATTATCACCTAAGTGAATGTAATGGATTCGACTAGAATTCGAACTCCGCTCTCCGATCCCTCAATCCAAGCCGCTATCCATTACTCCATCGTACCTCCTCCAGATAGATAGATAGATAGATAGATAGATAGATAGATAGATAGATAGATAGATAGATAGATAGATATGCATGCATGCATGCTTTTTACGAGTGGATTTGATGCTTTTTCTCTGTTAATCCCATAAAATATGACATCCCCATAAAATATGGAATAGGAAGCCTTCGATCCTATTCAAAAATCAGTTCTACTTAATATTCATGACGTCAGAGAAATATTAAATCCATCTCTAAAAGCACAGCAGTATCGATTGATGTTTTACGGGCTCTGTATTTGCATTTGCAACTTAAAATTTGTTTCTAAATCGAATTGGAGAAACAATTTTTGCGTGTCGCTGGCTAAAAGAATTGCACAAAAGTTAACGCATGGCTGGGTTAATACACCCGAAATTGAATGATGTCGTACAGGCTGTAATATATTGCAAGCACACCTTATTCCTCGTGAAAGCACCCGGCCCAAAGATTCGATTTTATCACAAAATGAAAAGTGTTTAAAGGTGCAGTTTTTCTTCTTTGAAAAAACAAGAGCATGTTTCTTAAGGCCCGGCCATTTGAATTTCGCAAGCGATAGACTTAATGAGGGACTGCTGCAGAGCTCAATTAGTTTAATTTAGATTTGTGCATTAAAGGCTTTCCATTACAGCTGATATTGGATAAGCTTCTTAGTGATCAATAAAAAGATCAATTGGAAGATATATATATATATATATATATATATATATATATATATATATATATTATGAAAAACAAGGTAATCCGTATGGGTAAACCTAAGGAGGATAAAACCCAGAGAGCTCAATGTAAACCCAGAGTAAATCATTTAAATAAAAACAGGCCACTTTAAGGTTCCATGTAATAAATTATTTCATCACAGCCCTTTTAAAGGACTGCGGATCATCAGACTTTACTTCCAAACAAAAAATGAAAAGAAAATTTACACATTTTTGACGGGCCGTATTAAACATATGTAAATTAACGAAGTGAGGAAGTGAGGGGGGAGAGAGAAGACATGAGTGAGTTTAAATGTGTCAATATCTGCTAACTCACTCATGTCTTCGGTACTTATTAGAAAGCGCTCAACATCAGAGATAGAGCTAACATATTTGGTTGGATTGTTGTGAGTTTGTGACCCTGGGTTTCACATATTCAAGATGGCTTAATGTTTGCGTTCATGCATGAAACAGACTATCGCTACTCGGTTTTAGCCACAGTGTTCACATATATATATATATATATATACATATATAATTATATATATATATATATATATATATATATATATATATATATATATATGTGTGTGTGTGTGAGTGTGTGTGTATAAGGAATATAATTGAAAAAAAATGTAATGTTGTGAAATGCTGTAGAATATGTCGGTCGACTTTACTTCCGGATATAATGCTGCTGAATTACTTTAATAATCCACAAGGAAGTTTTCAAAATGTGTGTGCGCGCGACGACGCGTGGGTGTGAACGAGGGTTAACCGGAAGCGAACTGTGACCCATGGCAATTGAAATCTGACATTTATCAAGAGACCATATAGAAACACAGCACTTGATTTGCTCGTTTTCTTAAATCAACTAAATAGTTTCCTGTATAATTCCTGTTGGCCAGGATTTGCTGACAGGAAAATTGGGAATAATAAGAAAGAACACAGGAGAGAAAGGCTTTAACAAAGTGGGAAGTCACTGAAGACAGAAAGAAATACACATAGAGAAAATGAGAGCAGGATAAAAAGGGAGGGAAGACAAAAGCTGAGAAAAGAAATTGATGTATGGAAAAAGAATGAAGGAGAAAGGGAGAGATAAAAATGGGGAGAAGAGAGAGAGAGAGAGAGATAGAAATATGTTTAAAATAAAGAAAGAATAAAGAGAGAGTATAGAAAAAGGTTTGAGCAAAGATGAAGACATTGCAGTGGGTGGGACAAAGCGCGAAATATAGAAGAGAGAGACAGAGAGAGAGTTTGTGCGTGTGTTGGAGAGAGATATGAGAGAGAAAGAATGGCGGAAAAGTTTGAGCAAAAGTAAAGACATTAAAGTTGAGGAGAATAGAGAGTAAGAGAGATAGGAAAAGAAGAGCAGAAATAAACAAAGAAAGAACGGGAGAGAGAAAAAGAGATAGAGAGAGAAAAATAGAGAAAAAGAGATAGAGAGAGAGAAAAGAGATAGAGAGAGAAAAAGTGATAGAGAGAGAAAAAGAGATAGAGAGAGAAAAATAGTTAGAGAGAGAAAAAGGGATAGAGAGAGAAAAATAGAGAAAAAGAGATAGAGAGAGAGAAAAAGAAATAGAGAGAGAAAAAGAGATAGAGAGAGAAAAATAGTTAGAGAGAGAAAAAAGGATAGAGAGAGAAAAATAGAGAAAAAGAGATAGAGAGAGAGAAAAAGAGATAGAGAGAGAAAAATAGTTAGAGAGAGAAAAAGTGATAGAGAGAGAAAAATAGAGAAAAAGAGATAGAGAGAGAAAAAGAGATAGAGAGAGAAAAACAGTTAGAGAGAGAAAAAGTGATAGAGAGAGAAAAATAGAGAAAAAGAGATAGAGAGAGAAAAAATAGTTAGAGAGAGAAAAAGTGATAGAGAGAGAAAAATAGAGAAAAATAGATAGAGAGAAAAAGAGATAGAGAGAGAAAAGCAGTTAGAGAGAGAAAAATGATAGAGAGAGAAAAATAGAGAAAAAGAGATAGAGAGAGAAAAAATAGTTAGAGAGAGAAAAAGTGATAGAGAGAGAAAAATAGAGAAAAAGAGATAGAGAGAGAAAAAGAGATAGAGAGAGAAAATAGTTAGAGAGAGAAAAAGTGATAGAGAGAGAAAAAGAGATAGAGAGAGAGAGAAAGGTATATATATAGAGAGAAACAGAAATGAAAGAAAAAAGTGGACGCAGGAAATGAGTGACTACTAGTTTGAAAAATGGTAATGTTAATATTAGCCATTTCTTTTTAAGGAAACATTTTGAAAGAGAGAAAGAGAGAGAGAGGGAGAGAGAGAGAGGGGGGAGAGAGAAAGAGAGAGAGAGAAATGAAAAAGAAAAGTGGAAAACGGAAAAAAAGGAGATTTAAAACGGAAGCAACCTGAACATAGACAAAGATAAATATATTCATCTGAGAAAAGGATTCTAGAAAACTTCGTTTTGCTTTGTCCAAAACGTAGTAATGTAGGTCATCCAATGATGACTGAACACTGTGGAGGACCCAATGACTGATTTGAATAGGACACTAGCTTGCTAACCAATGCTCAACGGCGTATAAATTGCAAATTTAAAAAAACCTTAAAAGGCCGCAAAACTTCAAGTGTGATGACAGGAAATTCATATATATCGTTAACAATAAAACATTTTAAAAAATCCAGACGACGTGAACGCCGAGAAAGAAAAGGAGACACATGGGGGGGATATACAAATAAAATAGACGGATAGAAAGAAGGGGAGACTGAGGTAGAAAGATACAGTGGGAAATTGCGAGAGAAATCAGCAACGAATTGACGATCAAAAAAGAAAGAAAAGAAACTGAAAGTGAAGCCCCATAGACACCCCCACACATATACGCACCAACACACACACATATGCACATACACATGCGTATGTATTAATTGTAGGAGGCACGGAGGAGCAATGGATAGCGGCTTGGATTGAGGAACCGGAGAGCCGAGTTCGAATTCCAGTCGAATCCATTACATTCACTTACGTGAAAGGTGTGAATCCTCTTCTTCTCCCTCCAGCTATGGGTAAATAGCAGGACAGACTGGGTTCTATAGCCTTGGATGGCAACTGGTCTAGGAGAAGGAAAACTCTGAATTCAAAACCTGCGGAGGGTGAATGGTGTCTCTCTGAGCCTTGGTTGGCAATCCATTTAGTGATGGTGTCACGATAAAAACACCCTTGATAGCCCTAGCGAAGCATCAAGAATTCAGCTATTTGACAAGATTACGAACTACACCAATCAAAGTATTAGCTATGACAGATAAGGAATACTGGAAAGGTGTGGTGAGTTCAATCTCGACTGACGAGTTCCCTATTCCACCAGTTCTCACCTTTACACATGGCACGATATACCACTGACACAACAGCAAATCATCCACATTCCTTTCGTATTCCATTAGTAAGGAGGAAGTCTCATTCTTTTTCTTCCCAAGAACTGCTACTTTGTGGAAGAGACTCTCAAAAAACTGCGTCCGTGATCTCTACAACCTTAACCTTTTTCAAAGTCTACGTTTAACCATTATCTTTCATCTCGTGTTAATCGTTATCTTTATTTTCTTCTAATCTGCACTTTGACGCCCTCCCCCTT